TGCTGGCCATCTCTTGACTGTGCTGTTCAGGTCAGGTCTCCTGGCTGAGACGTACCACCCTGAAGTTTTCAAATTCCATTTTTGCAAATAAAACAAGGGATGAAAGATGCAAGGGATGAAAGATGCAAGGGATGAAAGATTCAATACTGACCATTCAAGCTTCAGTTCCAGCTGGATTTAGTTCCATGCTTGCCCATACTCTTAGTCCTTTCCAGGGTGTATACATAGATTACTCTCCAAAACCAAGCATTTTAGTAAAATATGTGACCTTAATGGATTTTTCCAGATACTTACTGCATTAGTTGAACTTGATGAAAGATAAATATGTCTCCAAATTATGATTTGCTGCCTTGCCTTTCTGTGATGCCGGTGGCTGCCATGCATCGCGAGACCAAGTGGCAGCAAATGCTGCTGCTGTCACAGACTGGGGATGTTCAGCAGTGGCCTAACACTTCTCGTGGTAGGCAGGTTGCATCTCTAAACCAGACCTGCATAGGTAAATGTGAGGTTCGTTTCCAAACAGACTTGCTCCATCTTTGGTTTAGAGGAGCATTTCTTACTTGTCGCCAAGTTGAGAGACCCATCTAACAAACCACGTCGGTGAGGCTGGCTCTCCATCTCTGTGGACTGGCTGTCCGTTAGGTGCAACAAGTCTCTTAATGTCCTTCTTTAAATGTGGGTAAGCTACATTTGTGCCAGAATGTGGTTCATTTGCAAATGAACTACAGGGATTTGAAAATCCGTTTGTTTGAAGTAACAGTTGCTTCGTGCTTCTCCCTGTCTCTGTGAGGACAATCAAGTATTAGGAACACTTTAAAACCTCATTGGAAGAGGTCCAGGGGTTTTCTGAGAATACTGTTTATGGTTTGTTTAAGGTTATCAATTATGTCTCAAATAAAAAGCTCTCTACAGATGATTATTGTGCTGTACTTTGAACTCATTTAACTGGACATTATTTACAGAATATTTATCTTGGTTATGGCAGTTTTTGTCACCCAGCGATATTACTTTTCCATTATATACTGCGTGTGACCACCACATAAGTTTGATAATAAATGTTGGGAAATAAAAAACAGAATAAGTGCCTCAGTATGATAGCAATTCCCATGCGATGGGAAATAATGTCATAAACTTCAAATTACCTTTTAAATAAATGTTTACGTCCAACCCATCCATTAGATCATAGCCCGAAGGGTCAGAAGGATCATTTCTTCATGTTTCACTGTATGCGTTATGATTGCTTTTTTAGGTGTAAATGATGTTTTTAAATGAAGAGTGGCACTCGAACTATACACAAACAGCAACTAGACATTACTGAGTCGTGGTATGGCAGAAATAGCCTCAGCCACTTGGCTAAATATAGAAATGCAGCACTAAATTGAATTCATTCTTAGAAAATATTTTTAATGGTGTACATGCTGAGACGATACAGAAATACAGCTTGTGTCATTCTCACAGTTTGCAGCTTTGACATTTTAGTCAAGTTTAAATTCTTGTTGTGGTTTGGTAGATGGCTGATTTGCTAAATGCTTGTAAGAGAAGAGATTTTAGAGAGTGGGGAAGAGCATACCTGGGCATGTACGGAAGTGTACAAGTGGCAAATATTGTATTAATGAAGGGTCTTCACTGCCTAAGGCTTTGTGCCCTTGTGAAGTGATGCCACCTTGGTAAGTGCCCAGGGATGGTGTTTCCCTGAGAGCACCCCACATGTTGACACCCCGCCACTCCCAGTGCCTTTCATAGGAAGGAGACATTGCTGACCCAGCGGGGGGTTGAACTGGTGGGGCTAACGGAGAGCTGGCTTTGCAGAAGCAGCCTCTGCAAGTGCCCTGAGACTGCTGACATGCCTGTGGCGACGGGGCAGGTTCCTCAGCCTGGCTGGGCTGAAGTGGAGGAAGGAAGAGCTGTCAAGGGCCATTAGACCAATCTGGAAATAAATTCAAGCAAAGAACTTCTGTTTACAGGCAAGGGAAAACCCATTGTCTTGGAGATTTAAAACAACCAATCAAGAAATTCAGTGGTGTTTTTGCAGCAACTATGATTTGACCTTCCTGTTTATATTAAACATTTCTTATGGAGTGTGCAGTGACGTGGTTGCTTTGTTTAAGGTATTTGACAGTTACAGCAGTTCCGGGAATAATTGTTTTGGTTTTATATATGTCAGGAAAGAAATATATTAATATTTGAGATCAGGTTACTCTTTTTTAAAAAAAAAAAACAACTTATTTGTATTTGTCGTGTTTCTCAACTTTACCTTCTTTCATGAGGACCATGGACATATTAAACCTAGTTTTAAACCAGCATTTCTTGGTAACATATTAAATAACTTATGTCCAAAACATTTTTTTTTTAGTTGGAGATTAGTCTCTTCTAGAACGAGTTGGCTATAATATTGCTTCTTTTGTCATTATCATTTGTGTAAAAATAGTATATTAATTTCTCAGAGTTCACTTGATCCTGAGTCTTTTTTGTGAGCAGAGGTCTCTAATCCTTTCCACAGCAACCACTTGTAAAAGCAGAGGATTATGACTTGAGGCAGGATATGAGCAGCAGGAACAGATCAACTTAAAAACAAAGATCCTGTTTAAGTACAAATGCTATTGTTAGCGTGGAGTTGGGGTGAATCAAGTGGCAGGATGTCTATTAGAATATAATAAATTCGTATCTACGCCACATGGCATGCTAGCCAAAAGACACATCCTTTTAGCAGTTACGTGATAGACTACATATTTTAATACCTTTACTAATAATACTTTTGCCTAGTCCCATAAACCATTCCCTCTGAGAATGGCTGATATCTAAACATTTGAACAGCTTTTTGGTTTTCTTTAGATTTTTTTTTTCTGTCTAAAAAGTTTCCGCACTGTTATACTTTTCCCAAAATCCACTAAAAGCAACGATTTGAAATTCCACTACTGCAAGGTCATTTTGAGGTTAGTAATAGCCATTTCTGACTATTGCTATCTTTTGTTATGACGTGTGTGATCCTTCAGAGAAAAGGAGGAGGAGATATTTTTTCTTTGTCCTTCTATTTTAAAAAAAGAAAGACAATAACATTTTTTTCCTTTATTAAAAAATCTTGGATTTAATAGTGATAGTTTAACTGACCTATCTAACACTTATATATGTGCCTGAATTTTGAAGTTTTAGAAATTTAACCTTTTCCCCAATATTTTTCCTGTCAAGGTCGGTAGGAAGTGACGAAGGCACCAAGTGACAGAAAGCATTCTAGTAAATTGTGGAAAAACCCCCTATTTTTTGATAAAATTTGTAAAATTCTTACATGGCATGCACAAAGTTAATTAATATACAATATGCAATGATGGAATCAGGTAGCAGTTTCACTTCAGTCTGTACAGTTATTCCAGCAACTGATGTCGCATACAGTAATCTGAGTAATCTGTTCTTCCCAAACATCTGTTGACTGTGTTTTTGTGACAACAGAACATATCCTGTTTATAGATGATATGAATTTTGTCTCAGTGTATCTTAATTTGTATATGTATATATAAATAATGTATTACATGCCATAAAATAGTAAAATTCCACATAAACATCTCTAATAGCAAGTCAGACAGCAGCTTTGATAGAAGAAAATGTTTGGAGTGATCTTTAATCATTGCCATGTGGTGGCAAAAGGAGAGTCCATGGTTTCAGTACATTTGTTTGCATGCTTACTGCTGTATGAATTATGATCCTTCAGTGTCTTAAAGTTTGCAAGGTAAAAAAGAGGAAAAAAACCACATCATGGTCTTAAAGTTATATTTCTAACTCCTGTCTGAAAAGAAAATTTTATTGCACTTGATATATGAAGGTTTTCACATCATCATAGTGATGGCACTTGGGCTGCAACTGTATTATCAGTGAATAAGAAAACAGAAGCCATGGCATTTCAATAGTACGAATTCTTCAGCCTGTATTATTTTGTTAGCCTGAGGCAAGAGACTGCTCTTAGTACTCATCTGTGCAGAATGAGTAATCTGAGACAAATGTGTAACCACACTGCGTGTGCAATATGTCCAGATACTATGGGCTAGCCGGTCTCGCTGTGCACCACAGGCAGCCAAGTATCTCTCATGGACAATAGACATATGTTAAAAAATGGTAATTTTATTATACAGCCTGGGATTTTACCACACATAACTGATTCTAAGAGTGTTACAACGGTGACGGTGTAACTGTGGATCTGTTTATCCCATTAGAGTCAGAATTTTATACTGTAAGGAGTTGGTTTTACCAGTAGGATTTTCTGTTACCTAATGAGAATTCTGTGGTTTTGTGTGAATTCTGTGCATGGGAACAACTGAAAATATGTATTCCCAGTGCAGTCTATTTCAGTGTTTTAACACGGCTTGCATTAGCATGTGCGATAGCTCGAATTTTCTTTCTTCGCTGAAGCTACTTAAACAATACAATGACAGATTTCTGCTTTTATTCTTCATTAATGTCATTCTTCATCCTCTCTGCCCCACATCAGGGAGGAAGTGTTGTGAGTTTGCTATTTTAATGAAGAGAAATGAGGCATCTATCAACTAGAATTTATACTGGAGAGCACATCAATTCAGTTGCCTTGAGCTTGCTGAGTTGGCACATCCCAGGCCAAGCACCGCTCTCAATTACTCCCGTGCAACCCCATTAACTTCAGGAGGTTGCGTTGTTCAAAAGTGCCTTTGCAGAACACCGGGTGATATTAGGGGGAAATAAAAGCTATCTGTGAGAGAAGTCAGGCTCCAAAATACTGTTTTCGGTTATCTAGAAGGAGATATGCATGCAGTCTTAATTACATTTTTTGAAAGGTTAGGGTAGCCATCGTGTAGTTATTGCACTGAGTCTTTCTTTGTAGATGTGGCTAACAGAACAGACAGCCTCCCAAAAATCACTGCAGTGAGGGAGCAAACACTTCCAGCCCTGGAAACATATTGTAAGTCATGGTTTTTTAGTAGACTGTGTCCTGTCATTACTCTTAACTGTAGGTTGTTTCTTCCTTTTTCTGTCTCTAGGAGCTATGCCGTCAGCGCATGGCAGTAAAAACATCTGATCGCCCGGAACCCCTGCATGCTTCTCGAATAAATAGCGTTTCTTCGCAATTTAGCGATGGTCCCATTCCCAGCCCCTCGGCACGGAGCAGCACGTCGTCCTGGTGTGAAGAGCCAGTCCAGTCCAATATGGACATCTCCACCGGTCACATGATCTTGGTAAGATGTTTTTGTCTTCACGGCATGAGAAATTTCATCAGAATTTAAGGTACCTGCTCAGCTTTTGGAAAGAGATAATTTTTAAAGACAGGGAAGCTGTCTTTCCACAGGTGAAAAATATTCCTGAGCTGTATTGGTAATCTTAGCTTTGTATAATTAAAGCTAAAGAGATTTGTATTTACATTTCTTTTTCATTTTATCAGGTTTTTTCCTCTCTGGGAAACATTCTTTTGTCATGGACTTATGAATTGTTTGTGTACTTGATTTAAAAAAGACAAGTCCTGTGTTGTCCCTTCGTCCTGTTAATGTATGTTCACTTCAGCTTGGACAGCTGAATAAAACTGCTAAATTTCAACTTGCTGCTTTTGCTCGTGTATCTTCAGTGTGTGGAGATATCTGAGCTGAGAAGGCAACAAAATATTAGTGATATGGAGAAATTTATTTTCCATTATCCTTTGAAAGGACAAGACATCTGGATTTTGAGCCTTGACTGAATTTTGTTGTCCTTGGCTGAATTTCTTCCAAGCTGGGCCTCTTCTGTGTTTGATATGATCCAAATATATTCTATTGATGAAGTCTGCATTGGAAAACTTCCAAACACGACTTGTGACCAGTGTCACTGTAGAAGTTGGACACTTGAAATCTGCATGTCTGTGAGAGTCCGAGCGCAGGGGTTGGGGCTGCCTGCAGCTTGAGTCTGTTTCTCTCTGCTAGTGTCCTGCTGGGAGAGCTGTAGAGTAAACCCTCACTTTTTGTGCCTTATTTTCCGCCTTCTTTAAATAATTGCTGTCTTTCTAGAGTGCATTAAAATTAATTAAGAAGTTAGGTGATGGTGAAGGTGACAAATCAGGTGTTAATTTCCTTGCTGTATTTGATTTCTGCTGTTTACTGATGGTTGATCTAAATCAAGCCCCCATTCCTTTTGGTAGTGTGCTGAGGTTCTGGAAACTTCCCTCTTAGTTTATTTATGCAGCGCTGAGAAGACTTGCCAGTGGGGCCTCTCAGAAGAAGACTTCACCATATGATAGTTTTGGGTCATAATTTTTCAGTTTCATTTTCTCTTTTTCTGGACTTATATTTGGAAGTACCATCTTCACAGATGTTTTTTGAGTTCTTATAAGCCGCCTCACATAATGGAGAAAGGAATGAAGGCAGGCAAAACCCAAAGAGCTAATTTGACCCCAGCCAAGTTACTGACCTCCTTCAGCCTTGATCAGGTCAGCTATAAAGCTGAGTAAAAGCCGGGCAGTGTTGTAAAACAGATGCTTCATCAGAGTATGTCATCCTGAGTAAATTCTTCTTCCCCTGCCTATTGCGCCCCCAAAAGGATCTAATTAAGTATTATGTTAAAATCTGCTATACAAGTGCAATTTGGAAGAATTGCTCCCCTGACAGAAAATCATTTATTATAGTTTTCACTTGTCCCACTTGCCTAACCAGAATTAAAATTCACTTGATTTTCTTTCATAGTTAACAAAAATGCTTGGGGGGAAGACAGTATTGCTCAACCTCAAAATAAGTACCAATTCCCATTGTAAGGTTCTAAGGCAATATATTTGTATGGAAATAAGAGTAGAATTTCCTATGTAAATGGAAATATGCATTTGACACTTACATACAGTTTCAAATACTTTAATTAGAGCAAAATTGTTTTCAGTTATATTATTGGGAAAAATAAAAAGAAATCACAAAATCAAGCTTAAAGGAGAGAAAGTTGCATGTGGGAACCACTTATTCTGACTCTGGGAATTTCTGCAAAATTGCAAGAAAGAATTGTCTTGTTTATTCATAGCAATGAATAAACTTTAAAAAATATTCAGGTTGGTCAGGATCACTGTTAACAGTGTTCAGTTACCATAATTCGGTCAATCTGGTTTAACCCTCGATGAACTCATACATATGTTAGCTATCTAACAGCATGTGTTATATCTTAGATGGTGAGGGTTCAAAGAAGGGTAAAAGAAATGCTCTAGTGTCTTGAAAATACAAGCCACACAGAGAGAATAAAAATAGTTAATTTGTTTAGTCTAAACTGAGCAAACTGAACAAACAAAAATCAGTGATTCAAGGGAGTCTGCCTATATGCTTTGAAATACAGGATGGGAAAAAGTTGTTCTTAATGGACGCAGATGATACGATTAGGAAGAATATACAGGTTAGAATCAAAAGGATGCATTTAGCTTGAATATCAGGGCAAGCCTAATAGCAGGGTCAGGCAGGCAGTGGGGATGTTTACTTAAGGGAAGTAGTTAAACCATAAATTCAAGCTATACTGAAGGCGAAGCTAGGGTAGGTTTACATGGGAAGATCAGCATCACTCAGCTACAGCGCTGAAGCAGATGATTGGACTTGATCAGAAATGCTCGTGTTTTGTGTCACCATGGGTCACGCTGAAACCGGAGAGCTGACCCAATTTATGTTTTGCTCAAAATTAAATGCGCATATCTGGAATACCTTATTTGCCTGAATTTCTCTCCTTGTGGAGATGCGGTGGCTTGTTGGACCTCAGCAATAGAAGAGGCTCGCCAGAGGTGAGCTTTTTCCACCTCTTGCCCTGCAGCTGCAAGTGGAGGAGAGTGCAGGGACCCTTCTCAACTTCTATAGCACTCAGTACAAGAAGCTTTCCAATTCTTCCCGTTTGCGTCTGCCACAATCCTCTTATCTTTTAAATTTTGTAGGTATTTTCCCTGAAAAGTATCTCAGTGCCTGAAGAAGCAACAAGAAATATTAACAGAGGGCCTAGTAAAAATGGCAGATACCATCTGCTTTGCAGGATAAGTGCACTTACAGGTCTGTAAATGTGGGTTTTTTTACCTCGACAGTGTGCAGCAAAGTAGCAGTTATCTGAGCTAGGGATTCTCAGTCTTTATTCTTCATAGGTGCCAGGACCTCCCCAGAGAAAATAAACAATGGATTCCTGTATGAAGTGGCAGTAGGAAATATTTTATTTTGATTTGTAAGGAAAGTTAAGTCTTTGATAGAAGTAGCTTGGAAGAAATGTGTCTGCAACTGCTGAATGACTCTGTGCAATCTTGCTAAGAAGTAGCATTGGTCAGAAACATTTCTCTAAAACTGTTCCATTTGCTGGAAAATGCTAGCAGGTCATGCCCAAAGTGATACCCAAGCCACCTCATTTTTGGATTTATTGAAGCTTCTGGTTGGTCATAGGTACTGTTTTCCTGGAGGACTTGCTACTTGTGGTTAGCCCATAGTTTATAGTACTCGAGATCAGGAGAAACCAGCAATCTTCCAAACCTGTGTGCCTTTAGGGCAGACACCTCACTTAGACTGCAGTGAGTCTTTCCAGGAGAAAAATCCTGCATTTCAGCTGCTTTCCTGTTCAGCAAAGGCAATGTCTCCGTACTGTTGACAGGAGCATGAGTTGTTTTCTACTCTTGGCAGCAGGAAGCAGGGAGGACTCAGGAGGCCCAGAAGGACAGCGATAACAACATTCAGAGCTTTTATTTTTTTTCCTTCCCTTTTCACGTTCTTTTTCCTCACATTTATAGCAGGAGGATGGCCCATATGGCACTTTTTGATTCTGTCTTTCTAAAAGATCCAAGCACTTTGGAAAGTGTAATTACAGGAGCATGTTTTATGCAGTTGTGTTTGTGGCACTGGCTGGCTGGTTTCAACACGAGCAGCAACAAAGAAGTGCCCTAGTTTCGGTCACCATTGGTTTTGCAAGAAAACGATTGCTTTTCAGAAGACCCTAGCAAGGTAAAGAGTAGGAACTTAGATTTCCATCCACTTTATTCACATGTGTACATCTATATTTCAAGTGCCAAGAGAAACTCTAATAAAATACGATGTTTCCCTTTGCAGTCTGGGAAGAAAACCAGGGGGGTTTGAAGGTGTCCAGGAGGTGTTCCGGACTTGGGCTCCTAACTTATACCTGCATTTTAGGCACTTAATGATGTTGTTTACTCGAGTCCTTAAATTCACCTTCTCAGCGGTGAAGGAAGTGGGTGGTTGTGAAGGTCTCCAGAGAATTAGGCAGAGTGGATTTCTCTTGGGAGGCCTCCTGTTGTGCCTGCACCATCCCGTTGACATCTGCAGCTTAGATGAAGGAGTTTCTTTTGTTCGTGCTGAAGCACAAGTTCAGCACATAAGTTAGGTAGATTGGATCCCACATCTGCTTCGTATATTACCACGCTTGTTTGGCTAAAATAATTATAATCTTTTATGAGTTTTTAAATGAAGAACAGCACTGCAAGAAGGGAGCGTATGCTTTTGATGATAACGTTTTGAGGTTGTTATCTGAATACCGTATATGAGAGGGAATTTGCAGAAGCAGAAGTGATTTTACATGTTTGGGGGCTTTTTCCTTCTCAAGACAGACGTGCAGAAATTGGAGCATTATACTTAAATTAGAATTTCAGAAAGTGCGAATTTACAAAAGGTTCTCTTTGGTACTTGTTTAAGCTGGAAGTCTGAGGAGTTTTCTCCCAGAGGGTATGAAACTGCTGGATGTATTGGAAATAATAACAGTCTGAGATAGTCTGCGCGTACTGTACTTCTCAGGAGAAGAAAGTTTCGTAACTGAGCTGAATGAGGCAGTGGGAACAAATGAACTAGAGACTAAAATCTAGGGCCTTGCATCTAGGAAGGCGTAAGTCCACTTGATCCCCTTGTCTTTGGCAATATGCCTGCAAAACCTAAAGGACTCTCACTATAGAGAAGTGAAGGATGTTCTCAGAGAGAACTTTGCATCAAAAGAAAGTTCTGGGACAGGTTGTGTCCGAGAAAGTGACACAACCTGAACTTGGGGACATGGGACAGAGACCTGCTGCTAGGAATCCAGTCAAACTCAAGATGCTGAATTTTGCCTCCAGTTTAGTTTTGATGTTGAATCAGTAACAGGATTGCTGTGAGTCCGAGAGAATAGTTTCCAAGGTCGAACCTCTTTGTTTTTTTCCAACATTGCTATCCTGTAGCCTTTGCATAGTAACTTTTTGATGCTTTCTAAGCAATTGTCCACCACTCTCATTTTTAAAGAT